GGCCAGGCTAGGAGCTACAGGTGGGGCAGTTCTGGTGCCCTCCCTGAGCTCTGGGGCACTGCCCTCCCTGGATACAGTCAGGGCTGAGACAGCGCAGCTATGGGGGGGGAGAAGAGGTTTGCGGAGGAGGGACTTAGCCCCTCCCCGAACGGGGAACAACCCAGCGGAGTCCAACCAAAACAGAACTAAACCCAGCCGAGTCCCCGGCGCGGCCCCTCGCTGCCCCCAGGCCAGGAACCCAGCAGTGCTCCGCCCCATGGCTCTGCACGCTCCGAGCAGAAGGCTCACGCCTAAGCCATGCGCAGAGCCGCTGGGCGTAAAACATGCCAATGGCTGTCTCCTCCCGTCCTGAGGGGCTGGAGGAGCCGAGGCCCGTCGCTCCCCAGCATCCCAGCCCAGGGCTTGCAGCCTGGCCACTGCAGTCTCTGAGCCCCTCTTGGACAGGCGACAGCCACAGCCACACTCCCTGGTGGTCAGAGACCCCCGAGATGCCCCTACACAGGATCGCTCTTGGCCAGCCCCACAGGACACACAGCCCCACAGCAGGCCTGGTTACTGCCCTGGCAGCGTGAGGAGAACGCAGGTCTCCACCCACACCCAGCGGAGGTAACCGCACAGATGCGCAGCACGTCTGAAACACTTGCCCAATATCCTGCAGCCTCCAGTGCCCCCTTTCTGAGTGTCACCTCAGGACTCCCTCCCTCCAGAAGCAGCAGCCAAACGCCCCAGGCTCCTCAGGCTCTCCCCACAAGACGCATGTTGTCAGCAGACAGCCGGGGGAGCTGCCCCAACGCACCGCACTGACCCTTAGAGAGAGAGCATGAGCCTTGTGATGGGCGTCAGCAGCCCGGACGCCATCCTGGCGAGCATGGCCCCTTTCTGCCTCGCCCACTGGGTAAGTGCGCACGTAAGGGAGACACAAATGGGGGCTCAATCCAAGATGGTCGCCTTTCTGAGAGCGCCTCCTACGAGCGGGAAGCGTTAGGAATCCCTGCCGTTTATCGGGGTCTCACGGACAGGCCACCAACCCCACTAGCCCTGCCACCTTGCCACTGTTACTGTGAGTCAGCCTTCCCCGGCCTGGTGACAACTGGCCATCGTCATGCCAGCGCTGTCCCCCACCACAGGGAATGACGCGAGAACAGCCAAGCCAAGCCAACCTTTCCCATTGCAGGATTCCTCACAGCACGTCGGCTTTCCCATGGCTAAGTGATCATCCTCGTCCCTCTCCGGAGAAAGCCCCAAAGGGCCAGAGAAGCTTGGCACTATTCTCAACAGGACACGGCAGATCCCAGCCCTGACCCTCACAGATTATACAAGCCAGTGAGAGCAGCGAACAGGAAGGATGCAGCTGAGGGCCTGGCTCTCTGCGGGAAACACTGTGTTCACAGCTCAGCCTGTTTGGGGTGTCGAGGAACTTTGTCCACATGGCACTTGGACCTTCCTGTCACGCAGGGACATGCAAGGAGCAGGTATTACCTGATACTGCATTGGTAAGACCGTTACTGCAGCACTGGACCCAGCTCTGGGCTTCACGCGCTTTGTACAGGAAGCTCACAAACTGAAGAGGGTTCAGAGAAGAGAACAGGAATGGGTCAAGGGCTGGAAACCCACCTTACAGTGAGAGACAGAAGGAGCTCAGTCTCCTTAGCTTAGGAAAGAGAAGGTGAAGGGGTGACTTGATGACAGCTCAGTGCGGAGGATGGTTCTGAAAGCAGACAGCTCTTTAATCTAGCACACAAAGGCAGAAGGTGCGCCAATGACCGGAAGCTACAGCTAGAAAATTCAGGTGGGAAGAAGGTGCACGTATTTACAGTTCAGGTAAACGACCATTGAATGGAAGGTTCCCTGTCACTTGGGGTCTGAGACTGGAGAAACCATCAGCTCCTGTTCAACCACACACTACTGGGCTCGAGGCAGGACCACTGGGTGGGACCTGAGCCACGCAGTCAGACTGGATACACCTCTACCCCCATAGAACGCGACACAATATAGCACACATTCTGACATAATGCGGTAAAGCAGCGCTCGGTGGGGGGGCTGTGCACTCTGGCGGATCAAAGCAAGTTCGATAGAACGCGGTTTCACCTAGAACGCGGTAAGATTTTTTGGCTCCCGAGGACCGTGTTATATTGGGTGTAGAGGTGTATCAGAAGGGCCCTGGCCAAGATTTTCAAGGGAACAAGGGCATGAAGCCAGGCTCCCAAGCCCAGATTGAGGAACCCAGCTCCGGGACCCCGCAGCTCCTCATTTCAGTTTTTCAGTCTTGGCCCATGAATCTATGAAATCTGTTCCCTAGAGCTGGTAGGGGGAGTGCCCACGGGAGCCCCTGGGACCCCTGCCAATGGGGACTGATTCACGTATGCGGTTTTTAATAGTTTCCAGGGGAGATGGAGTCAGAGGGGAGATGGAGTCAGACGCAGCACCAGGTGCTACCAGCCCACAAGACGACAAGGATGTCTCAGCCCAGCTCTCAAGGCCAGGTGCCCATGTCACAGTTACCACGGTGGCCAGAGCAACGTGGAAGCGACACTTTGCACCCAGCACTGCCAGCACGTCCCCCATTTAGATGGGACACAGCTCCAAGTGCTCCCAGCTTGCTGGGTGCACCAACAACAGAGACTGAGGCGCACAGTGCACATCCAGAAAGACCCTCTAGGGCAGGGGTCGTGAAGTTTAAGGCCTGCAGGGACCACCAGATCATCCGGTCTGACCTCCGGTATATCACAAGCCGCCACCACCACCCAGCACCCGCCTACTGAACTCAGCGACCAAACAGGAGACCAGACTATGACACGCCACAGGGAGTAAACAGGAGAGGCCGAGGTGCACAAACGTCTGTGTCCCAGTGGGCGTCAGCAGCTCTGGGGAAACTCCGATCTATAGAGGTAGGAGAAGCAGCCAACTGTCTTATTCCCCCAAAAGCCCTTAGAGCCCCGCAGCAATGCATGATGAGGACTCCAGTGCATGCTTCGGCCAGCAGCCCAGCCCACCAGGAGCCAACAGACACAGGAAGAGAGTTTCCCAGCCCACCAGGAGCCCAGGACAACAGCACCGTTGGCTTGTTTTGAGCAAAGGAAAATCAGGCATAAAAGCCCCGAAGGCCCGGCCAGAGGGACCAAGAGGCAGGAAAGGCCAGGCTGGAGTCTGTGGCTGCAGCAGGGAAGAGCTGTGGGAACACAGACGTGATCACTGAACCAGCAGCGCTAGTGCAGGCTGGGGAGCAAGGCAGGGGATTTTGCCTGCCAAACCTTACCCACAATCCCACTGTCGCAGCCTGCGACGCAGACAGAGCGGATCAAGGAGGGAGGGTGAGCCGCAGCAGGGGCCCTGGGCCCAGTTCAGTCCCACAGGGAGAGTTACCCCCAGGAGAGAAACACACTGGCCCTTAGCACCATTGGGAACATGCACAAGGCCCACTACCAGCACGTGACCGCGAGGGCTAGGGACCCACTTCCAGTAGTCCTGCTGCACCCTGGCTTGGGAAGGGTCAGAGCGGGACAGCACCTCTCTCCTCACCTTGTCCCTTGCCCACTGCCGCCCTAGCTGGGGGCATTCAGCGATTCTTAGACTCCAGGCCAGAAGGGACCACTGTGATCAGCTAAAGCCTCAGCTGGATGGTGTCCAGGTCTGGGCGCCACATTTCAGGAAAGAGGTGGTCAAATTGGAGAAAGTCCAGAGAAGAGCAACAAAAACAATTAAGGTTTGGAAAACATGCCCCGTGAGGGCAGATTGAAAACCCTGGGTCTGTTCAGTCTGGAGAAGAGAAGACGGAGGGGGGGCATGGTAACAGTTTTCAAATACTTCAAAGGTTGTTATAAAGAGGAGGGGGATCATTTGTCCTCCTTAACCACTGAGAGCAGGACAAGGAGCAAGGGGCACCACTAGCAGCCAGGGCGGGTTAGGTTGGACATTACGAAACACTGCCTAGCGGTCAGGGTGGTTAAGTAGGGGAACAAATTGCTTAGTCACCGTCATTATCTAATCTGTTCTTAAAACCCTCCCAACACCTGTCAGGGATGGCTAGCCCAGCGATACTCAGACCGACCGGGGCTTATGAGCCGCAAGTGGCTCTTGAATCGGTCTCCTGTGGCTCTTTCTAGCAGGATATTAGAACCCTGTTGTTACCTGTCAGCTCTGTGTTCTTGGGGAACCAGGGCACAGTATCCAGCCTGCCTGACTCATGAAGGACACCACCCCCACCCCAAGCCTCTGCTTGAACCAAAACTGATCAGAAGAAAGACTTTAAAAAAAGCAATGAAAAGGCCGTGGGAGACCCACTAAACCCCTCCGGACAAGGGTGACAGGATTACGGCAACTCCCCTAGCCTCATTTGTATGGAAGATGGGACAGGGAGGCATCTCCATCAGCATACAGAATGGAGAACAGAGATTCCCAGGCAAGAACTGCACTGAACTCTGGGACCAGAGAAGCAGGGCAGCACTGCATGATGGGGGATCTCTGCTCCAGATGTTAATGAACCCGCCTGCATACACCCAGCCCAGCAGTGATCAGCCCAATTCTAGTAATAAACCCTTGATTGGGATCCAAAATAGTGAAGCTGCCTAATTGCATAGTGAGCTCCTTGGAAGGAACATCGCCCACAGCCAGGAATGAGCAGTTCCTATTGTCTAGCCTGGACAAAACAACATTGGC